CACGTCACCCAGTACAAAAAGGGACACCCTTTAATGTAAAGTTCTTTTTTTATTGTATATGAAGTAGAGATGCAGACACATTAATAAGACTAATTTCTTTTGTTTTTAAACCAAAAGAGTCTAAAAGAAAGTTGGGGTTTTTTCAGATGCACTAAAATGGACTTTCCTCCAGTAACTGCTAACCATGAAAAGCAGAATTCAAAGGACTTCCACTTTTTATTTCTGTTTAATTTTGAGCATGTACAAGGCTGTGTAGGACCCCATTTCTCTGTATATACTATTCCAGTTCCAAATAACCCGTGTAGAAAGCGCACTGTGCTGCCCTCTCTTCCTAGATCTTCAGCTGTGTCGCTGCTTCCTGGGGGTGGGGGTGGGTCTGAGACAGGAGGAGAAGCTGTTGAAATGAGGGCCGTGAATTTAGTTTGTTTGCTGTTATGTTTGGTTTGGTTTTGTATGGGTTTTTTTATCAATTGGGCAGCTCCCTTTTCCACAAGCCTTTGTGACTGTAGAACTATTGTAGAAAAAAAAGTTCTTTTCTATATATAAAAAGAAATTATCCAACGCAGTAATATTGGTACCTACCATTTTTTCACTTCTGTTTAAAAAAAAAAAATGTATTTTTAGCAAGATAACTTGGGTAATCTTCTAAAAGAAATTAAAAAAAAATCTCACAGTTAGTGACTTTGATGCCTTTTAAAAATAAGAGCTTTTTCATTTCATTCCATCTTTAAAATTTTTTATCTTTGTTGTAGAATATTAAAAACTATTTTAAGAAAGATAAAATTCTCTTTAAAGAGATCTCTAGAGTGTGTGAATAGGAGCTCCAGATGCCTCTAAAAGCCGCATGTACAAATGAAGCTGAGTCTATTCCTGTCTGTTTATATTTGCTTTTCCTGTTTTGTAACCTCTTTGTACTTTGTTCATGGTGACTTGTAAGCTAAGGGGAAGGGGGTGCCCAGATGCCTTTGTAATTCTCCATGTCATACGCTCCTGGCTGGATGGTCTCCCTTCCTCTCCTTGTATGTAATATCACTTTTTTTTCCCCTTTCTAGCAAGTACTTTCAAAAGAACTCTGTACATTTTAACATAAAAAATAAATTATGTTGAGCCATTTTGGATGTCAGTTGTGCGTGTGGGTTTGTTTTCTTCCCTGTGAGCGGTGAGTGCTGCCCCTGGTCCTTGGTGCTGGCAGTGTGATTCCCTCTTGGCCTTTTCACCTGGCAGAAGGGTGACACTTGGAATTCACTGAGGAGATCTCTGTGTTAGTGTTTATCTGGAGCTGCTAATCAGAGAAAGATTAAGAAGAAAAACAAAAAGCTTGGAGCTGGGTGAACACCCAGCGCCCACGGGAACCTTCCAGGGGCTTTGCCACAGATGGGCCCTCACAAGGATGTCCTGGAGAAGGTCAAACTGTTTATAAAAACCATTATTTGGTCAAATAGGCTGCACTGTTCACTGCTTGTTGATTGAAAAACAACAACAAACAAACCCCCCACCCCCTGCTTGTGTGGGCCAGCGTGATGATAAATGTACCCTGAGAGAATGACTAAGTAGGGGAAAGGGATTTGGTTTGCTGGCTGTTTTTTGTTTGTTTTTTTGAGAGAGTTGCCAACCCAAAATGGGTGAAACGCGGCTGCCTTGAAGTGCAAGAACCTTTGGTACCTGAGAGCAGGGCAGGAGCTGCTGCTGCTGCTGCTGCTGCAGGCTCTGCTCCTGTCTTGGACAGGGGGAGAGTTTGCCCTAAATGAGCTGATGGGTGGACCAACATTGTTAACAGCTCTCAGTAAGCAGGAAAGAGTTCAAGTGCAACCTGCAGCAACAAACTACTGTCTGGGAGTTGTGGTTCTTGAAAGAGACTGACTGGATGGAGAACAATCTTCCAGGGTTCTGGGATTTCTGAAAGCTCATCAGTGAGATAATTCAGAACAAGCTAAAAACAGAGAACTGTCTTAATTAGGTTCCCAGCTCAGGGAAAGAGCTCCTCGCTGAGATCCATCCGATCTCTGCAGTAACAGAGGGATGCAGATTGACTGAGGCACACCGAGTTTACAGCAGCTGAGGTGAGGCCTGCAGCATCTTTTATCTTCACAGCTTGTCAGCCAGAATAATTTACCTAAAAATAGCTGCCTGAAGTTGAGCTTTGAATGTAAAATCCTTTTGCCCCGAATACAGAGAGTCTCAGCGACTTCACCAAACATTGATTTTCACCCAGAGCAAGGCAGGACTCCAGCTACATGCTTAATCTCCTGAAACAGCTGCAGTGCCTTGCAGAGAGAATCAGGAATTTGTTCCTGAGCTTCCTTCCTTATGGGAGGTTCTGTTCTGTTGGACAGCTCTGGATGTGGAGCTGGTACGTAACAACCTTGTTCATTTGGTGTGATAATTTTCGCAAAGATTCCCGTCAGTATCTGTTTGTTCTCCCTTGCCAAATGCTTTACCCTGTGAACTCTTTAGACAGGGACTGTAGTCAGTATGTTTGTCATTTGTGTCACATGGCAGAATCTCAGTCTATGATTGAGATAACAGAGAGTTATCATAGTACAAATAATCTGTTTTCAAGGGAAAAGCGATAAACATGGTGTTCTGTGCCAAAAAATTAAATAAGGCTCTTGAAAAATTCCTTTTCTACTCACATGTTGGCTGATAGATGCCTATGGTACCTTCCAGCTATAGCAGAAAGTCTGTTCACTGAAATTCTGTCATTCTCTGTTTTCCCATTTTATCCAATGGGAACAAGCAGCAACAAGATATGACACATCTATAGTTCTGGATATTTCCCAAACAATTTCTTCAAAGAAGATAAAAATCACTGGTGGGCATAAAAAAAAAAAAAAAAAAGACATGGTGAGTTAAGTGGAATTGCAAAGTCCATTTCCCACTTGTCCTGTCCTGAGTCCTTAGTGAAACAGCAGGGATGGTGAAGACAAAGCTTTATGTGCAGCAGATTTCTGGGGACCCTTTCCACCAACCACACACCCACAGCACGGAGAGGTTGATACAATCACAGGCCAAATGCTTCCTGACTGAGCACAGTGTCAGCCCCAGCTCAGAACAATCTCAGGTGTGTGGCACAGGTACCTCATTCCAGTTTAGCTGATGTTTGAATCAGGCTGTCAGGACTCAGGAGAGACGTTTCCAAAACAGCCACCATGAACACCAAGGGCCGTCCAGGAGGCAGCACGTGCTGCTGCCCCCTCAGAGAGCTCAGCATCGCTCCCAAGGCTCCAGCCAGGGAGGCAAAAGCTGCTCAAGCAGAATTCAATAGGGGTGAAATTCCCCCTGGAATCTTGGGGGAAAGGAAAAAGGGTGTCACATGGGAAGAACTGAACTGTTACTGGAAGGCAGATTTCCTGAACCAGGGCTTCAGTCAGCCCTGCTGGGAGGAGCTGGGGCTGTTCTCCAGGGGGCAGGTTCAAGGTGCTGTGTGTTCCCTCCTGACAAAAATCTCCTGCAGTCTGAAGTAGGCGAGGCTGCAGCTGCTCTCGGAGTGTCCTTGTCCTCCTTTGCTTTGTGTTAGTGAACACAAAGAGAGCAAAGCCAGTCGCAGGAGTTGGTCCTCAGAAGGGGATCAGAAGTGGCTGGGGACGTGCAGCAAGGAGGCAGCAGGTGATGGCTGGGGACAAAGGAAAGCACTGAAAAAACCTGCAGACACTCTTGATCATCTCTGTCCATCCAGCTGTGAGACAGGCACTTTGATCTGCGTGGAAACCTGATCCTTGTCCTCAAGAACCTTCATCACAAATTCTGCACAGGGCTCAGTGAGTCCAAGGAGCAAATGTTGGTGCAGCAGGAAGGAAAAAGGGGAATTGTGATGTTATGGGGTAGCACTGTTTGGAAGCTCTGACAGCAGATGTACAGCTGCAGATAACAGTGATCCAGTCAGGGGCTGAGGAATGCAATATTGCTCTGGATAAGGTGATAAGGGAAATGAGTTTGAACGGGGAAACATTTCTAGCCCTAGAAAAGCACAAGCACTTCAGCTGCACTGGTAAAAGCGATTCAGCTGCTCAAGAGCACCTTCCTCTTCTGGCAATGGCAGATGTTGCTTTTGGTGCCTTTCAGGCTGTACCTAAAGGGCATCAGATCAATAATCCCTCTGATTTATAGATGGAGTCTGAAGCTGGGGCTGTCTGGAGTCTTACTGCTGCTTCTCTGTGCTGCTTTGTGGGCAGGCAGGGACTGGTGGTATTTTGGGTATTTTGCAATTCCTGCAGTAACGCACAGGGCAGCAGGGAGAGGGGGTTGTGTCAATGATATGGCCAGGAACAGTATTTTAAAAAGTTCTCTGCCTAAGCATATCCAGACCCCAAGAATGGCCACTCGACTGGTTATTAGTCTGCACCTGCAGAAATAGCCTTCCCATGGAGTGAGGCATTTTTTGACTCGGCAGCTAATTACATACATGTTAATGAGATTTGCACCTCCTCTGAGAAGTGTCTGTTTTGGGGTCACTCAGAGCACTTACATTTATACCTCTGAGTTCTCCCGAGCTCTTCTGAGTTCTGAGCTGCGATGGTACCTTGTAACAGTGTGTCCCAGGCCTGTTTGGTGATTAATAACTTCTTTCTTAGTTGGCTGTTACATCTGTACCCTCTGAGTTCACCGAATGTCCCTGTTCTTTAAGGCAGGGCCGCTCAGAAGTCCCTGAGCAGGTAAACATCTGCTTTGCTCAGCTGATGGTGTAGCTGCCACAGAAGAGCCCCCCCCCCTTTTATCCTGGCCCCCTCCCACACTGATACCATGTGCAGGAACCAAAGTCACTCCTCCAGGCCTGGCTCCTGGGTTCCCACCTGGAATTGTTTGTGCTTTTGGAAGGCAGCTGCGGGTGAAATGCAGGGCTGACTCTCTGGGCGTCTTGCCTGGGTATCCTCAGAGACAACTTGAGCTCTGGTGATGCCTGGGTGGGCAGGAGCTGGTGGATTGGGTTTACTTTGCTGCTGCTGTGTAGTCAAGGAGCAGACTGAGCCCTCGGTTTCTGTCTCCCGTTCACAGCTGAGATCCCTCCCCTCCCCTCGCTGCTCAGGGAGCGGGGAGATGCGAGGAGGAAAGGATGCTGCTGAGCTGCACTTTGCTCCAGTACTTGGCACGTCCTTTGCAGTACAGGCTGTTTTCTGAGCAGAGATGCTGCCTCCCAGCCGATGCAGCCATTCCCTCCTGCTCCCCTTGAAAGGAGATGGAATCGTAACCCGGGAGTGAGTGAGTGATGCAGCCGCTGCACAGAGACTGACTGTGAGGAGGAAAATTGGAGAGCCTGGAATATGTGCCTGCCTCAGCAGCACTGCAGTGGTAAAGCCCCTGACTGACTACGTGCAGGTTACTGTTCTTTAGGCATTGCTACAGAGAACTCCAGAGTCGGATGAAATGCATCGGCCTCCTTTTTCACTGCTTCTCTATTGTCATCATGCATTAATTGCTGGGAGTTATTTTCCTTCCTGTGGCTGCCTGCCTGCATCTCTTCTCATACTGCAGGAGAAACAGTGAGGGAGAGAGCTCAGCACCAGCCCAGCGTCTTGTCCCACAAGAACGTTCTGCAGGATGTGCCAGCGCAGTCAGGGGCTGCTGCAATGGTGCGTGGAACCTCGGAAACAGCTGGATTTGGGATTATTAATGCTGTGTAAAGGTGTCCCACACTCCATCTAGCAACTAGCTGGAGACATTGGCTGCCCTTTGGGGCTTGCTGACTGCTTTTGATTTTCCTCCCATTGCTGGTTTCACGCTCATCTGGGTCGGCAGCGTTTGTGCGACAGGAAGGGACTTCCCTGGCCAGGAATCAGAGGATTTTTCTGCGTGGAAAGTGCAGGTGTGAGCTCTGGAGGGGACTGCAGTCTGACCAGCCATGGCTCAAGCAGCTAAGCAGCTGAAGAAAATCAAAGATATCGAGGCTCAGGCTCTGCAGGAACAGAAGGAGAAGGAGGAATCCAATCGCAAGCGCAGGAACCGCTCTCGGGACCGGAAGAAAAAGGTCAGTGCCCTGGGGAGAGCAGCCCCGTGTCCAGGTGCCTGTGCTGTGGCAGTGAGTGCTGCTTGTGGGGGGAAAAGAGGGGGCAATGACGGAGGGGCAGCCTGGTCCCTGTGTGAGCCTGTGTGCAGTCAGCACAAGAAACAGTCTGCCAAAGAGAGGACAACTTTCAGGACCGGGAATCTGCTGTTTACCCTGACATCTTAGGGAGGGGGGTCGTAAAAACGTCTGGTGAAGGGGGAAGGGAAGTGAGGGGTTCATCAAGGCAGCTCAAGAAATTCTTCAGACCACTAACAGATTGGACCTCTCAAACAAAATAGCTGGTTCCTGGCTTCCTGCAGCTTCCCAGAGTTGCTCCTTGTGTTCAGAGCAAAGGGGCGAGAGACCCCCACTCTTCTTCTCTACTGAAGTAGCAGTTTTGGTGTCCACTCCATCCCCTGCTTGATCTCCACCAGAACACTGAAACCAGGGGACAGCAGGAGCAGCCCCCTACCAGAGGAGGCACGTTTGGGCAGGGGACTGTGAGTTCTGCTGCTGCTGAGGGCAGGCTGTGTTTGTGCACGGGACGAGGGTCGTCCTTCCCAGCAAAGGCACATCACTTTCTGGCAGCAGATCAGGGATCAGAGGTGTCTGTCCCCTCTGCTGACACCAACATGCTGGAGCCTGGGCTCTGCCAGCTCTTCTGAGCTGTAGTTCCTCTCTGGAGAGTCACTGGCAGTTTTTTCTTGCCCCCAGCTTCCTGCAGGAGCAGGCATGTCGGTAAAACAGCTTTGCTCCCTCTTGAACTGAAGGCTCCTGTCACAGCAGGGGCTGAGGGTGGACGTGCCATGCACCAATGCAGAGAGGCAGCCAGGACAGAGGTGAACCCAAGGGTATATCTGGTAGGAGGTTGTGATACAGGAATTCTTAGGTGGGCTCCTCCTCTGCCTTTAGCAAAGGACTTGGAGACTTCAGGCCCCTCTGAGCAGGAGCCCCAGAGCAGAGCTCTGCTCGTGGGGAGTCTTGAGGGCTGGGCCCTGGGAGTCCTGAGGAGAGCCTTGCTTTTCTTAAAGCTGGGCCAGGGCAGCCCAGGAGGGGTCTGAGAGAGCAGCTCCTCGGGGGGAGATCAGTGGACACAGCAGGACAAACATGAGGCAGCAGCTGGAGTTGGGTGAGCGGGTCATTCAGCTGCCAGCTGCCTCCTCCAGCGACAGTGACTGCTCCTGGCAGGGATTTTACTGTCCAAGTCTCCTTGGGGCAAGCTCAGGGTTGCCAGCATGTGTTGCAGTGCCGGTCTGTTTTGCTGCAGCAGCTGGAGAGGTTTGGTGAGCGTCAGGAGTGCCCTGTTGGTGCCCTGGGAGCCCAGTGGGACCCTGACCATGCCAAGGGCCCTTGCTCTGGCCACTGGAGTGGACTGAAAGCACTGTGGTGTCACTGGGCTCCTCCTGCTCCTCTGCCTGTGCCTTGCTTTGTGCACAGACAGGCTGTTTGGGGCAGAGGCTGCTCATCTGCTCAGGGTTTGCACAGTGCAGGTATCGTGTCTTCAGTTCTGGTTGAGCCCACCAAGTGTTGCTGCAAAGGAAGTTGTGAGCAGAGGTGTGACCTGTGATCCAGGGAAGTTCCAGCATGACACAAAGCAGTGGAGATGGCCAGAGGGAAGGAAATGATGGCCCCAGAACAAGTTTCTTCTCATCTCATGCCACGTGAGCTCCTGCTGTGAGCTGTTATGTCTCGAGCTTTGTATCCTTTAGCATTTCCTGGCATTTCTGTGTGGTTATCTGTGTCCTGGGAACTGCACAGATGAATCCTTCAAGAACCTTGTGTTCTGTGATGCCTGGAGGCAGTGAGTTCTGTTATTTAATGCTGTGTTCCCCAAACCCCTTCTCCTTGGACCCTGATAGTATTTGTTGCTCTTCATTTTCCATGGCAGTTTCTTGGGCTTTGTATTGCGTCCAGAACGAGAACCTGACTGACCTTGTACTGTCCATTTTCATGTTCTGTGCCTCCTGTTTGTCTCTTGGCACAGGGACAGTCCAGGTGTATAACCTTGTCGCTCCTCCAGTACTTCCTGCACCCAGCCTTTGCAACTCAGATGATGAGCTGATGTTTTGTTTGACAGGGGCTGCACGAAGGATTTAAGGAGCAGGATCTTATCACTCCCCTGTGCTCTCTGTCCAGCCCAGGCACGTGTGCTTTGGGCTGAGCTGTCCCAGGAAACAGCCATGTCCTGAGGGGTGCTCCTGCTCTGTGTGCTCTGCAGGGGGGCTGCAGGTTGCCCCAGCCTTAGGATGACCCCAGAGAGCAAATGTTCAATAGTCGTGGCTGTTCCCACCTTTGGTGCAAGTGCTGAACTGGGAGGACTCACCAGAGCTGTGGCAAAATGTGCTGGTGACTCCTCAGGGTGCCCTGCAGACAGGCAGGTGTGGCAGAGAGCAGAGAGTGGACTAACAGAATTTCACTGCCACTGGAGAATGTGCCAAGCACCATCTGGGTTGGCTCCCTGCTATTCCTGCTGCAGGATCCCAGCTTCAAATCTCTGTGCATTTTGCTCAGGTGGGCAGTTTAGAGGGGACCAGAGCCACTCTGTCACTGCTGCTGGGCTGCCTGGGCAGCCTCTGGTGTGGCCAGCTGCACCGTCAGGAAAGTGGTGATGGACAGAACGACACCTGTGCTTTGGGTGCAGCTCTTTGTCTCTTCTTTGTGCTTTGGAGAGGCAATGATGGCCAGGAACACTTTCTTCCTTCCCCTGCAGTTGTGGTCAGGCTCCCTCAGCAGGAAGCCCTCACAGAAGTCACACAGAGCACTTCAAAGACACAGTCCTGGCTTTGCCAGGGTCAGGGGCAGCAGCACAACACGCTGTGGGGATGGGCTGCAGCTCCAGAACTTGTTATGGGAACACGGTTATTGAGTTCTTTTTGACTTGCTTGGGACTCGTAGTTGTGGTTACGTATTAAAGACAGAAAATGGAGCAAATCTCTTTCCAGGAATTCTGGAAGCATTGGCAGAGCTCATCAAATTAGGGTTGTTAGAAAGGGTCCAACCCCCAAACTGGAGCCCAGAGCACTTGGACACCTACAAGCATCCTACAAGCACCTTTCTGCTGTGCCACCATGATTGGTGGCTGGTGGCATTGCAACCTGACATGCTTTGAGACTAATAAATAAAAGTTAATACTTTAATGAAAATCTTTCTTCCTGTTGAAGTATTCTGGTACTAAATTCAGGCATATATCTAGGGGCACACACCTTCATCTGCCTCTCTACAAAGAGGGAGATGCCAGCTGTGCTTCTCATTGGACATGCAGGATTCATGGAGCTATGTTATTAAAAAAAATCTGACCAAAAGCTCAAAAGGAAATTCCTGTGATGATTGCTATCAGTGTTTAAATGATAAATTATTAGTATGAAAGATGTGATGCATCCACTTGGTACATTCAGAGTAAACTTTTCTTGGGCATGTAAAGAACAGAGGAGCTGCCTGAATTAACCACTTTTTTTTTTTTTTTCTTTAATGTCTTTTTTTTTTTTTTTGGTGGGGGGAGGAACAAACTGCTTTTCTCTTACAACTCTTCTCTAGTCTCTTTGTCTTGCAGCTGTCCAAGGGTAAGACAGTCACTTGTTACTGTGCAGAGCATCTGACACAATGCAGTGTTAAATAGTAAAAGAAAGGGATTCCTAATAATAAATCTCTGCATAAAATTCCTTGGCTTTTTCCAGCTGATGTTCTCCTGGAAGCAGCACACAGAGCAGCCCGAGGGGCCGTGGCTGGCTCCCATCCTCAGTGCAGCACTGCTCCTGCAGCAGCAGATGTTTCACTGCTACACACGGAAACACATCCTGGCAGCAGAGGCTGGGAGGGTGCCTGGGAGCAGGGGGACAAGAAACCCATCAGAGAGGGTTTGAATTGTGTGGGAAGGCAGGAGAGGTGTTTCTGTTTGGCAGGAGCCGTGGCAGAGGGAGAGCTCGTCCACCGGCTGGAGGGAAACGGTGGGAAAGAGCGAAGGGAGGGCAGGGGATCGAGTGACCCCCTTTGTACAGTCAGTCATGGCTAAGGAATAAACGTGGGCATTCAAATGGCTGGCAACAACTGTCAGAAGAAACTCCAGGCTGAGGTGTGCGAGGTGAGGTGGGAGAGGGGCTGCGTCCTGGAAAGGCAGCACTGAGAGATTCCAATGACGCCGAGGATGCCGATGAGAATGCTTTTACATGGGTGGATTTCTGCATCCTTAGGAAGCTAGGGAAATGTGGGAACTAGAACAAGTCAGGAACAGCCACAAACTCAATCAGACTGGGAAGCAGTTGCAGATGATTCCTTACTAGGACAGTCGAGCAGCCGTGTAGGGTGACCACGCTTGTGCTCGTTGTGTGACAAGGAAAAGAGGTCACTCATCGACTGCTCACTGATAGGGTGTATCAGGGTGGAACTTAGGTCTGAGCTTAGGATCCCTGAGATGTAAAAGCCAGACACCTCTGTCAGAATTATGCAATGAGCACACGAGAAACTGGGGTGAGAAATCGCTGCTGGAGCGCTGCCAAGGAGCAGCCACTGGGGCTGCTCTCCCTGCTCGCCTGCATCCTCTCAAATGGCTGTCACTGTGCAGCAGCCTTCAGCTGGCACTGGCTCTGGGGGGCTGCAGGGAAAAGAGTGAGGGCCACAAGGAGTGCAGAGGGTTTCAGCAGACCCAGCTGGTTCAGGATGGCCCATGGTAACTGCACTTCTGAGCTCCACTGTGTCCTCCTGCCATGGGCGTTTGGCCACTGGATGGTCACTGGATTGGGCTGCCTGGATTCTTGCAGCAGATCCTGCCAGAGAGGAGACATGGCTGTCAGCCACCCGGCTCCTCACTGGCTGCTGGGAGCTGTGCTGGTATCTCACCTGCAAGCTGGAGCTCATCAGCAGGAGAGAGGACCTGCAGAGTCTCAGGGCACAAGAGCTGCTTTGTCTCCTTTCTCTGCCTGCTCCCAGAGCAGCAGCTCCTGCTGCAGCTTCTGTTCTCTGCCACTGCAAGTTGTGTTGGTTCTATC